GAACAACCTAATTGATTAGCGAGAATGATGCCGTAGTTAGCGCTAATTGTTCTTCAATTCGCGAGAAATAACACGTTTACATAGTCGTAATTCATATTAATACATATATCCATGCAGCGGGGTTACCTGAATATTTGCGATATCACGTACATATATATATATATATATATATATATATATATATATATATATACTCTGTCAAAAGTGGAGCAGCAGCGTTTTAAGGTCAAAGTTTAACTGTCGTGTATTTTTTCCGCAGTGTGAAACTTTGAACTTTCGATATTACGTATCTTTCGCAATTAAACACGAAATTAAAATTTTAATACGGTTCACGTGAAAAATTAATTGAAAAGAGATAACGCTTCGTTTATTCGCGAAATGCTGTTGGAGAAGGCAAAAAACAATTTGAAAACCGTTGGCCTGGTTTATCCTGAACCACGAGCCCGCGCATACGAGTCTCTCATTCATTTCTGTATATTTTGCGGTGCCCGCGTGCGCGCTTATTACACGCTTCGTTTCGCCTCTCTATATTTTTCTTACGCATCGCGCTTATCCGTCCTCCATACGACCAGCCATTCCCGCTTCTTTTGTACCACAAGCCCTCTTTTTAACCGCTCAAGCTCCCGTTTCCTCTCCCCTCTGCCCGCCACATCTAACTTCGACGTCCTTACGCCCCTAAGGCCTTCGGCCTTATCTCTCAGCAGCCACCGGCAATTCCGCGCGTCTCTCTCCTCTCCATCTATCCGTGCTCCGTCTTTGCTCCTTTGCGATTCCGTCACGTCTCTCCGCCGCTTCTTTATAACGACGCTTTTATCTCACCTTATCCTCATCGATGTCACATCGTGCGCCACAACGTGTTTGTCCCCGCCGGCGCTCGAACTCCCCGTCTTTTTCTACTCCGCAGTCTGCATTATCCGTCCGGATGCGTCGCGCCCGCTCGTCTCTACGCCACGAACCGACGCCATCGCGTCGCTCTCCTCTCCGTTCCGCTGCATTCACCTCTTTTCGCTACTCTCGCAGCTCGTTACATCACGTTGCATCTCCGTCCCTTCGTCTCTTTTTCCGAGCGTCCCGGCGTTAGTTCGTCTCGTTGACTTTCCCGTATCTACACTGCGTATCCTCGCGACGCGGGCTGATTCCGGCTGATTTCTCTCCACTTCGCCATGGTTGCGCCATGCTGGTTCCCTTACGCCCTTTTCTACTGTTCAAACTGATATCTCGTTCATCCCCTCTTATCATCTCTCCCTTGCCGCTCGCCGACATCGTTGTCATTCTTTGTTTCAGCTTTCGGAATTTTCCTCTATCTCTAGGTCTACTTTGCGTCCCGGGTGTACGTTTTTCCAAACGTGTCCGATTTCATCTCAGGACCGACTCTCTCTCCATCTTTTTATATCTTCGCTGTTTCTGATAAATTGTGAATTATTCAAAGATGATGTGCACATTTATCTTTCGTATATGGTATGCAGATATTCCAACGGAATTAATTTCTCGAACGTGTATTATATAAATGCAATTTACACAAACAGAACATAAAATCATCATCCAAATGGCGTTAAAATTGAAAATGATTATTAAAGTCACTCTTCGATCAATCATGATTTAGTTTAACGTCAAAGTAGCATTATCGTGATTTGTCGTTCCGTTTAGAAAATTCTATAAACTTTTAACTTATATTAGTGTATAATCTGTTAGATAATAGGAATAATGGTAATACAATCCTTTGAGTTAACATTATTGTTATTTTTAAGTTTTATGTGTAATAAAATAAAAATGTAAATTAATCAATTTCTTTAGTTAGTTTCAAAGTAAATATCAATGTACGCATTTAGTAAAGAACTAAAGAATCTAATTTAATGGATATAATAATACATTAATTTAATTTTCTTATAAATTATGAACTAATAAAGTAAATTAATTTAACAAAATCTAACTAATTAATCTAACAGTGTAATTTAATTTTCTTAAATTAAGTTATTTAACTTTATTGTTTTTAATTAAATTAACAACATATTGAATAAAAGCAGATAACATAATAAATCATTAAAAATAACTCAAATTGGGTATAATTTGATATTATGAATTTAACAATGTAATTAGCGTTAAAGAACAATTACAGGCACATATATTGCAGCACATATATTGCATGTGAAAAAAGGTACTAAATAAAATAGATAAATCTGCTTGATTGCGAGTACAAAAACAGTCAAACCCTATTTTAGGAGTAGAAAGAATAAATAAATATCGCACTTTGGACCGTAACGTCGCGTGTGCGGCATGAGATTCCAACGTGAATACGAGTGACCCATAAAAAAAAATAGCACTTCGCGTTAAGTGCTTTCTTGCGTGGATGTAACTCCTACAATGTGTGTGCTGCGAGAAGTTTGTTGAATCGTAAATGTAAATGGCGATGAAAAAGTTTCTAGAGGACAGCATGGAAGAAAAGCAAAATAGAGAATTAAAGAAAGATGCTTTTAATCGCGTTTTGCCTTTTTAACAAATTAAAAAAGGACAACGGTTCTTTTTATTTTTTAAATATAACAGGTCAACAATCGACAAAAAATATATAAATAAATTAATTACTGACAAATAGAATTTCCTACAACCATAATCAGATGTAGATTTATTTAATATATATTTTTTTTAATGATTCAATTAATTGCCTTGAAACCTATATATCTATGTTTGATTAAAAATAATTTTACTAAAGATTTAATGCATTCAAGAGACAATATTAAATTACATTAAGACTTTAAAAAACAATTGATTAAAAATCAAAATAGCATGCTATTACAGATTTATTAAGTTCAATGCTGAGCTTTAGCAATCAAAATGTTAATACGATATAATTACTTATGAATCAAAAGTGGATTTTCTTTTTCTGTCTTCTCAATTGTATATCTCGGATAACTTTGTTGTAAATGTGAAATTCCATAATTATGAGGTTCATGCTTGGATAATCAAGATTGTTTCTGTTATTATTGTTGAAACTTCCGGATATTTTCTTTAAAGAAACTAAAAAATTTGTAGATTATCTCTTGTGTCTTGATCACATCGTTAAACGCCAACGTTTCATGAACATTGCAATTTCTTCATCAGAGCGAAAAGCAACTTGATATTTCTTGCCCTGATGAAGTGAACTACAATGTTCACGAAATGTTGACATTTAACCAAGACCAGCGATAACTCGTAAAATCTTGTATCTTCTTATTTACGTTACTCAAATGTATATTATATTAGCACATTCAGTACCAATTTTAAATGACTTTATCATCATGCCGCAATATTAGTACATTAGGCCTTTTTCTTTACAATAATTTTTGCAATTTTGTTAAACTACATATATTTTTACCATTATAAAATATATGTTATTTAATAAATATAACAAAAGCACATAAAAATGTCGTAGGTCACCAATGATCCACGGCATTTTTGCTTGTGTTTGTTATATTTATTAAATAGTATATATTTCGTAATAATTAAAAAAATTACAAAGATTATTATTATAAAGAAGAAGATACTAATCTACCAATGTTGCATCACATGTTATAATTATGCGTCCACGTATGATACAAAAAATTATTTTATAACTACGTGTCATTTTTATAGTCAAAATATTAAATATCCGAATGGAAGGTTCAACGTGGATGCACCGGTGACTTGCGCAGCACGAAATGTGTTAATATTATTAAACTGTAATATGCCTCGCAAAAATTATGTATGAAAAAGGAATAGCAATTTCTCATTTGTCCGACACGAACATGGTGCAGAATTTCTCTGGTGGGTATTTCGCGCACAGAGACAGTTAAAATCGCGTACGCGGTGGGACGTAATCACGATGAATTTTTCAGCGTGGCTCGAAATTTTTTTTCGGGACACAAAGTATTCCGACGTATTAGCCGGTGACCTAGATTTCCAGCAAATTATACGAGCACTTCAGGGTTTCTATGGCCATGCGTGTAATCCAACCCTAATCGGGAGCGACAAACTGTGGGAGTAAATAATATTGTTTGCAAATCGACATTCGAAGCCCCGGGCAACAACGTCACTCGAACTTATAATTCGACAGACCGTATTTGTGATACCGCAAACAAGCTTGTTTGCCTT